TGTTCCAGTGATATCAATGATGAATATGTAGTCTGGTCCAATTTTTTATATGACAACAACCTCAGTATTCCTGATATAAGAATAGATATAAAGGAATCACCAGAGACATGTTGGGAATGTAAAAACTGTATCAGATTTTTTTTTCTTTTCAAAATTAAAGGCTTAAATAATCAACTGCTCATGCTTTTCACTACAAGCAAAAGTAGCTTAATGTTTGTATATTTAAAGATAATCAAATTAATGAAAACTTGATCTGGGTTACATTTTCATCCAATTCAGTCTCTCATTTTTGAATGGCCCCAGGATAGAGATTTAGGTATGAAAATAGGGTAGCCTTGAGCTTTCACAGGCCACAAGCCCTTGTCTCCCTTCTCTCTTCCAAGCTCTCTGAAGTTGAGGGATCAGCTACTAGAAAAATGAGTCTCCCCACATCAAGCTGAAATGCCTCAATGGCTTCAACAGTGTTCTCTTTCACTGTCAATGCCCTGTGGTTTTATTTGCGATGACAGGGACTTTTCCAGATTGCCCTACCTTTTTCTTCTTATTTTGCAGCCTCTTTCTCATCCTCCCTTTATTCAAGGTCAGAAAATGTCAGTGGATCAGCAGTAGAAAGAGAATAGCTTTTTAAAGTACTTTTAAATTTTTAAGCTGAATGGTTGGTACTAGCTGGGCTTGTTCGAGAGATGTGCTTGAAAGCTCTTCTCTCTGCACTGTTGTGTCTGTAATGTCCTGTAACCTTTCTCTCCCTTGTCCTCCCAGTAATTACTGAGGCTTCACCTCCTGTCTTGGTTTCTGCAGGGACAACTGAAAATTTTACATGCAGACCACCTCCAATTACAGAACTCAATTTTCTTTTGTTAGTGACTCTCCTTGGGTGGTCCTATCATAGCCCTTCTCCTTAGGGCTTTCGCCTTTGTTTTTTTCTTTGTAACAACACTTTTTACAAGGGTTGTGTTGCCAGTGGTCTATAAAATTTCTTTCTGATTGCTCTGCTCTGTTGTGCTAATTTGTCACTCTCCTCCCTTTTGTAATAGACTACTGTGGTCCTGTTTTTCAATTAGAATTTCCTGATTAATTCTTCATGATTTAGAGCATCTTTATCTCTTCAAGGAATCTGATTCAGTTAACCTATAGTAACCTCAATTTTGTACACAACATAAGTAATGTTTTCTTTACTTCTACCTTTTAATACAGTCATGCTTAGATGATCTTTCTCTGGTAACCTTTGGGGAACTTTAAAGGAAGATCTAGGTAAAACATTGTAAGAGCAGAAAGCTAATTGGAATCTCAATAAAAAATTAATTGCCACATCCTACAACAATAAAGAGGTCAAACAAATCTCAGATGTATTTTGCAAGCAATACATTTGCATTAGAAAAGATCAATAGAAGGTAATATAACAAATTAATTTAGAAAGGTTAAATTGGTTTGTTAACCCTTATATTTCCATTAGGGCTACTACTACTGATAGAACTAAAACTGGTTCTGCCATAAAAAAGTGTCTTATTCTTGCTGTGTTCTGAACAGTTTCCTATTTCCTGCGATAGATATGGGTATATTAAGCTAAAAAATACTTTCTCTGAAATTTTTATGCAACTAGAGTCAGTGGTTTCATAGAGGAACCTTTTCTACGTGTGTGTGTGTGTTTGTGTGTACTTGTGTTGTTATTGTCAACATTTGTGGACACAAATGATATATTTTACTCCAGTAAATAATAACAAACCTTCATACACATTTCTTTTTTCCTCTATTCATCACTTTTGGGGCACCAATATTGCAAGAGCCCATTAAAAATAATCCAGGCTGTTTATTTGCCAGGATAACACCACAGTAAAAGTAAAAATGATATTACAGACATACTGCATAACAACTCCCTTCACATGACTTTTCTGAATTTGTTCAGCATCCTTGTGTTGGCTTCCAGAATAATTACAGTATCTTTTCCCATTTCTTTCCAACAAAACCAAACTTTCCTATATACCACATATTCCCAGGGACCACAGTGTGATTGGGAGCTATTATATTGTCGATTCTGAATTCCATCTGGTTTGTAAATAAAAGTATTCGCTATAAAATAGTTTTTATAATCAGCAGCTTTCACCCATCATTAGGTAATAACACCAAACACCTATCTCCTTTAATATCCCCTAGGGATTTTTTTATCTTTGTCCAGTCGCAACCAATTGGCCCTTTGGTAAAATAAATTTTATTTTCATACAGGGGACATTAAAACCAAAATGTCCAGTGACAACCTGCAATGATTTTGGTTTACCACTGGCTTCCCGTGATTGCTCGTTCTTAGATTGACTCCAAAACTCCTGTCAACTTTCAATGTAGGCCATCCCAGAGTGATTGGAATATTCAATGATATTTCAGGGTGAGATTATAAGCCTTTCTCAGCATGCTGACAGATATGATTCTCCATTAAAGTCATTACCCTATTAATCCATTGACTTGGATATATGTTGTCCCTCCAGACCAATTTCCAGCTGTGTCTTGTCATTATGTTGTCATTATGAGAATTTTCAATTCTTTTACATCAGGATGAAAAGCTTAAAGTAGCCATTCCGTACCTTTAGACTAGCTCCTAACATGGCCCTGTCACTGTGGGACAGAGAGGATCAAACCATCACATATGCCATTGCACAGAAATGGGTTTCATACCTTTGGAAAAAACATTGTGCACTGAAAATAGTGTACGTTCCATGATGTCACTTGAGTATATTCTAACCCCAGTTCTACCTTAGAGGGCCATAGTCATCCTATACATGCTTTTCGCAATCTGTGGAGTAGAGTTAATTGTTTTTGGTTACTTAACCATACCCAAATCTATCTTTTTTGAGACTATAATTTCATTTCTACTGTCTCTAAATAAATTATATTTTCTTTCACAGACTAGTAGCGACAGTCTGGACAGGCACTTCCTTCTGGTTCTCTTCCTGTTGAGGGTGCTGTCTCGGCAATGATCCATCACTATCCATGACTATTCCAAGCACACAGTCACTGTTGTTCATCGCTTCATCTCTGTCTAACTTATTGGAAAGATTTCCTTCAGATTATCTGAAAATTAACCAGAAAAACAAATATGGCTTATGAACTGTTATTATTAATCAGAATAACAAATGTGGCTTATGATAGACAGTTGTACCTGACCTGTACCTGTTACATTCTCAGAGGGTGCTTTGTGTCTCATTTACTCAAAATTATTGAGATGAATACCATAGATGTCATTTAGCAACAGCCTATTTTCCATTCTCCAGGAAGAACATTTCCAGAATTTTTTCCCAGCATTGGTTATTTCTTAAGTACCAGATCTGAGACAGATAGGAGTACTAATATAGTGCTTGGTGTCCTTGGTGGAAATGGGATTATTTCTCCCCTCGGTGGTTGTAATGGACTTCTAAGGGCCTCTTTTCCCTGTGCTATGATCTTCTGCTTTTTCCACTTACTGTTTCATTTTTCTACCCTTCTGTAGTTGTACATTCCAGCTTAGCAGAAATACTGTTTACCACAAAGATGATAATAACAAACTAGCTCACACTTCTCTCCAGTCCCACTTCAAGACAGATATAATAAGTTTTGGAAAAGAGTAGATTTTCTTTCCCACTGAGTAATGTTGCTATATTGAGAGCTAGTTGAATTTAGCTACAGAAGACGAGGTTAAAATGATGCCTACAGGACCCTTTTGAATATACTTTTTCAAAGTCAGTTGTTAAATTATGATTTGTAGGCACCTGTATCCGTGTCTTATAAACATGTAAATTTAAATTTAAGACTAGCACAGAGGATCAGGCAAAATAAAAAAAAATGCCTGAGGTGATGAAAGGAAGGAGTTTAAGCATCTGGTTTGTGATTTATTCACCCACCTTACTGGAGGATATACAGTATCCCGTGGCAAAAAGGATAGAAAAGCATGCACCTGAGCACTTGTTGCTAGGACTTCCACTTAAATAGACCTGTAATATTCCTCAGGTCAAAGAGGTCTTATCTACAATATGTTTTTAAATAAGTATTCTTTTTAAAGGTTAATTGTAGTAAATAAGCAAAGAATCTATGAATCCTGAATCTCTAGAAAATAACACATGAATAAACAACATTCATATTAAAATATATGTATATTGAGATATTTTATGTTTAACTGAATGTTTAACTGAAACATTCCTGAGAAACTCATCAATTCTTACATTTAGAGTTCATGTATTCTTCTGAGGTAGGAGATAATAGATCTGATGTGACTATGTAGGACTTAAAGACCCATCTGAGATATCATAGATTACTCTGGTTTGTCTTATTTACTGCATTGCTTATCCTTGAAATTAGTAATAAGATTTGTAACAACTGGTATTAGTCACTGAATTTGCTGTTTCAAAATATTGAAATATAATTTTATCTATTTAACTAATAAATGAGTAATAATTTCTATGTGAAAGAAGGGCCAAATGAACAGTAGAACGAGTTCAAATAAGAACATCTTAAGGAACTTCTATATAATAGTAATTATTACTTTAATTATTGGCCTCTCAGAAAACACATGATTCTGTATTAGATGTTATATTATTTTTTGAGCTATGTGTCATTTTCAACGTAAATCCAAAGATGACATTTTTAGAATGTTCAGATTCATTTAACAGTCTTGTTACATACTTTGAAATGAAACTGAATATTTCAATTAAAAATACTTATAGAGTATGAATAAAGTTTATGTTATGTTCTTGTGCTGTATTCTGTGTTATGTTCAAAATACATTACCCATACACCTTTCATTGGGTAAATTTGGTAAGGATATTTCAGAAACAAATGAATTGACAATGGATTGTAACTTGCCCTCAGTTCAAATTCTCACTCTGAATTGGAAAGATAAATGGTAAAGAAGCAAACTTACCTTAATTTATTTGTTTCCTATAGCATTGTTCTGCAAGGTTTATGGAGAGTAATAAACTTGTAGGTAATAAACATGTAGGTATTATGGAGAGTAATAAACTTCTTTCACCTTCATTTAGAAAACACCAATTCTGGACTTAGTTCATTTGTGCACTGAAAGCTGGAACTTCAGAAGAAACACTTTCTGGTTTAATTTAACACAACCACATGTGTATTCCTCAGCTGAATTTCATAAGAGCAAAGTAAGTATTGTCCTTAGAAAATATTTTTTTCATAAAAAAGTAATGTTAAAAAAAATCCACCAAATTGAATTTTTTCAGAAGTAATCTCTTAGAAACTTCATAGGTGTATATATAAAATGTCTGTAACTTCTATCAAGTTTATTTTCTGAAAATGATATTAGTCTTTTCATTATTTGAAAACAGGGTGGCAGTTGATGTAGATGATCTATTTACAGTTTGGGAAACAAAACAAAATAAAATAAGGATGAAATGGACAAGATGTTTAATGATACATTTGTCATGTTTAAGTATGTTTCACAATACCTTTGAATATATGAGAATTCTCCTACAGTTAGTTCTGCAAGGCTAAACAGTAAGATGGTCCTAATCACTATACTGTCACCTGGCATTTGGGAACGTGATAAGAAAGTAAATTTAACACAATGAATTCTTCCACAATAAATAATTACCAATCAACAGATTACCATTTTATGCCTACTCAGCTCACTTTGTTCTTCCCATAGACAGGTCAAAATCAAACAAAGGGTGGAAGTATTTTAGAATTCCAATCAAATGTAAGAGCCTTGTGCTTTTGTTAAGCTAGTATCAGATTTCAAGTCAGGAGAGTGCAATTCAAGAGGCAGGAAAGCTGAAGGGTACATTGAGTTATCTTGTCAAGGTCAGTCTTCAAAAACAAAAGCAATATGCCTGAATACATGATTGCATTGATTTATTCATTCATTCACAAAAGGTATATTGACAATCTATTCTGTACTGCCTCTGGGGATATAACTTGAAAAAATAGTTTCTTGACTAAAGGATTTTATGAAATTTTTGAGAGAAACATTCAGCTGTAGGAATCCAACTTTATTTTGATAAAAGAGAAAGACAATTGCAAAATGCAAATATATTGCCTATCACTCTTCTCATGAGAATTTTGTGTGGTTTTGAGAAATATTTTATTCCATGGGGCCTCCCTGGTGGCACAGCGGGTTGAGCACGGTGCCGTGAAGTCTTCCACAGCCTCTGCAGCACGGGTTTGATTCCCAGCTGGCCAGAGAGTTACCCACATGGCACGGCAGACCTCTCCTGACTTGCCTGCTACTCCCCTTGGTCTGTCTGCCTATTCTTCTCCCAACTCTGTCTCTGGTGAATCCTCTCACCCTCCTGCACCTCTGGCCTGTGCCCCAGCTATTGTATAAATAAAAAATAAATCTTTTTAAAAAAAAAGAAATATTTTATTCCATGAAAGTATTTTTATTTATGTTCACTTTTAGGGGGTTTATTAGTGTTTTTTGAAGTAAATTGATAAAAATTTTATAGCTAAAATTTATAAAAATTATATCAAAAGATATAAACTACATTAACAAAACCTATGGAGACCTCAGTAAATATTAAGAACTTAAAGGATTACTTCAACTCAAAAGTTTGATAATAATGGTTCTTTCTTAGGGAATATTAAAATTACCCATTAGTATGTTAAATAATAGTGGTGTGAGAGGGCCTCTTTGTTCCTTTCCTTGTCTTAAAGATAAACACTTCAATTTTTCACCATTAAATATAACATTAGTTATGGGGTTATCATATCTAGGTTTTATTGTATCCATGTATGTTCCATTTATACCTACTTTACTGAGAGTTTTTATTATAAATGGATGCTGAATCTTATCAAAGGCTTTTGTTCTGTCTATGGAGAAGATCACATATTTTATCCTTCATTTTGTTCATGCAGTGTGTCACATTGATGAATTTGCATATGGTATTTCATCCTTGCATCCCTGGTATAAATCTCACTTGATCATGGTTTATTATCTTGGTAATGTATTGTTTCATCTGATTTACTAATATTTTTTGAGGATTTTTGCATCAATGGTCATCAGAAGTATTGAACTGTAATTTATTTTTTTGTGTATGATATCTTTGTCTGGTTTTGTTATCACAGTAAAGCTGCCCTCATATAATTAATTAGAAATGGCCCCTTGTTTTCAGTTTTATGAAGATGTTGTGAAGTTGGATATTAGATCTTCACTGAATGTTTGGTAAAATTCACCAGTGATATCATCTGGTTCTGGACTCTATTTTAAGCAGGAGGGTGATATTTCAGTTTCTCTACTTGTGATAAGTTTGTTCAGATTTTCTGTTCCTGTATGAGTCAGTCTTGGTAGGTTATGCCATTTCAAGGAATTCATCCATTTCTTCTAGGTTTTCCATTTTGTTGGCACACAGATGTTCATAGTAGTCTTATAACCCTTTTTATTTCTGTATTATCAATTTTTTATGACTTCTCTTTCATTTGCAGTATTATTTATTTGAGTTGTTTTATTCTTACTGATTTGAGCCAGACTTGTCAATTTTGTTTATTCTCAGAAAACCAGCTTTTCATTTTATTCATCTTCGGCATTGTCTGTTTGGTTTCTATTTCATTTATTTTTGTTCTGTTCTGAGTTTTTATTATTTTCTTCCTTCTACTGACTTTGCGCTCCATCTTTTCTAGTTCTTTTAGCACTATTAAATCATTTATTTAAGATTTTTCTTGTTTCTTGTGATAAACCTGTATTACTAAAACTTTTTCCTAATCATTCCTTTTGCATCAACCCAGAGAGGTCTGCTGTGCCATGTGGGTTTCTCCCCAGCCGGCCAGGATTGAATCCACGCTGCAGAGGCTGTGGACAGCTTCTCAGTGCAGTGTTCAACCCCCTGCGCCACCAGGAAGACCCTGATTTCTAACTTTATACAATTGTGAAAAAAACGCTTGACATAATTACAGTCGTCTTAAATTGATTGAGACTTGTTTTGTATCATAGCATGTGATCTATACTGACAGTGTTCCACGTACAATTGAAAAAATATATTTTCTTTTATTTTCTTCTATTTTTGTAGTTTTGAATCTCAAATTCTTGCAGCAAATCAGGCTAGATAACTATCTCAAACTAAAGGGCACATATTGCGATATTATTAAATATTGTAATTTGTACTTGAATATCAATTGATTTATATTTTATCATAGAGAAATTAGCAAATGTTTCTTTGAATCATCTTAAAATATTGAGTTGAATTCTAGTTACTTCTGGATCACTTGAGCTAAATAGAAAATAACTATCAAATAACTAATTAACAAATATTAGGGTCCTCCCCTGGTGGTGCAGTGGTTGAGTGCTGGGCTGTGAAGCTGCCTGCAGCCTCTGCAGCGCCGGTTCGATCCCCGGCCGCCGGGCGAGGGTCCCACATGGCGCGCAGATGGCTCCTGCCGCCCACTGTTCCCCTCAGCAGTGTACTTCAGTCCTTCTGCCTATTCTGTTCCCTGCTCTGGCTCTGGTGAATTCTCTCACCCTCCTGGGCTTCTGACTGTACCCAGTACTTGTATAAATAAACAAATCTTTAAAAAAAAAAAAACAACAAATATTAAATTAGTAAACACATTTTATTTTTCCAATTTTTATGATGTCTGTACATACAACAGCAATAGTATATGTCATAAAGAAAAATAATTATTTGTCTGTAATGGATTTAAGATACCAGTATCTAGTGTAAGTATATAACAATAATAAAACACACTTAAATATCATTACTTTAGAAAATATGTGCATTTATGCTGTAACAGCTTCCAAAATGCATCTGCTTTTGGAGGAAGTGTTATGTAATTTATCTTCTCTTCATTTACAATTAAAGCATAAAATATAAGAATCAGCTTCCTCTTCCAATTTTATCTAAAAACCTCTCTATATGACTATATAATCCCACAGTAACTTTTGAATCATGTTGTGAATTCTGCTGTAATACTCATATGTATTGTTCTCAATTTAATGAATGTTAAGCTTGACAATGGGAGCTGCATATAAATAAGTTGATTCTGTGAATGAATATTTTAATTATGGGTTTAACTCTGTACATATCCGTGAAGTTAATAAAGTACTTGTCATCAAGTCTGTTACAAGAGAGACTCCATGAGAAAGATATTTCATTTTTACAATTAACTCACAGCTCACTTCACTGTGTCCCACAGATTTATTTTAATTTTGTTATGTATCAATTAAACTACGTCAAAGATGAGAATAAGAAGCTCATATCCCTATTAAGAATGTGATTTTGCAGATTTAAAAATCATGGCCTCATTTGTGTTTAATTGACAGCAACTAAAATGATGCAACGCATTTCTCATAATCAAGCAAAGAAAAAATGCGCCTTTTTCTCTGTAACTCCGTAGTAGCAATTTTAGATTCTGAACACTTACAAGGAAAAAAACTTAAAAGATGCCATATCAATAGAGCTATAAATACTTAACTGCTTTGCAGCCCAGATTGCGGAGCATTAATGAAGATAGTCCACCATAACTCAGTATGTCTTGATTTTTCCACAGTGCTGTATCGCACTTGCCTTAATAGTTTATGCTGATTTTTTTTTTCTAGTTGCAATTTCCTAGGTTTGTTATGATGATTAGGGTATCACAAAGTCTTAGATTAAGAATCACTACTGTTTCATGGTACCTGTGTGGCCCTGTGTAATTTGCTAAACCATTTTGAGACTCAGTCTTCTTACTTTCAAAGTGAGGCATGGTAAGTTTATTTGTTAATTAGCTAAGAAACAGAACATTGACCACTTTGCCTGATGTTTGCCACTTAGTAGTTGCTCAGTAATCTTGATTTTCTTTTCCATGTTCAATTTCTCTGTTCATTCATTCCATAGCTGTGAATTCTGAAACAATGATAGTTTCACCATAAGTTTTCTATAAAGTACTTACAATTCAGTTATGTACAAATTTGTATGTAATCTCCTTGGAGACAAAAATCAGATTATAATCAATTTTTCATCACGCAAAATGCATTCCTGCAAAATTCTACCTATGCCTGAAATCACTTAGCCATCTTTCCATTCTCTGTGACTGTCTGCGGCAGGCAGTGTGCTAAGAGTAACATGGTTTAAAAACACATTTCTAGTGCCTCCCCTGGTGGTGCAGGTGGTTGAGCACAGTGCTGTAAAGCTGTCTGCAGCCTCTGCAGCACCGGTTTATCCC